CCCCAAAACCCCAAAACCCCAAAACCCCAAAACCCCAAAACCCCTTCATTAACTTTCGTAATAAAATAAAAATAATTATTTATTATGGCAACTGAAGATATGGATCGATAATTAAAGAACTCTGGGCAGATGCCAAAAAGTCATGAAAGGTAAGTCATTTTGCTTTGAGGACTTATACCCATCCTACATTGGACGTTAGATCCTTTATACCTTTTTCGTCTTATACAGGGATGGAATATTAATGGCATGGTCATGATGTTAGATCTGCATATCTAATAGCAAATACTGATGCAAACAACTTTTTCTTCTTAAGAGCTTGGCTTAATATCAAGTATAGATACGCTTATATTCAGAATTGCTCATTAAAGAAAGCTAGATGTGCAAGGGATCAAAAGAAATGGAATTTGGCAAATTCACTTATGCCATCATATCTGACAGGACTTCTTTTGAGAGTCTTTTAATTTTAAGGTTTTATTAATCTAAAATAACTTAATGAACTTAAGCATAAATCAGCAAGCTCATATTTCCAGTTTTTAGCCAAAGAAAATCCATGACCCAATTCTATTACCCAAGGAAGCTTTAACTGTATGGTACAAAAGCAAACTGGAGATCCCTCGCAACAGCTATACTTGGACTACTAATACATAATCGTCCCTCTAAATTTAATTTCTCTTATGAATTTTATCCATTGAGTTGCTTCCTTCACTACATTTTCTTCCCAAGACTAAAGTCTGAGTTAAGTTATTTGGTTTTAACCTGAACGGTCAGTTATACTGCCTAAGAATTCATGCCAAAAATTAAGGCAAGAGCGACTATGCGGGAGTTTTTATAGGGTTTATGATATTATATATTGAGGTCATGAAATGTCTCGGCTCATTGGCAACTCAGGTTTTGGAAGTAGTTCGTTGGTGTTGAGGGAGTAAGACAGATAGCTTTTAATGCATGGTTTATCTAAGTGAACACTCAGATCATTTCGGATGAGTATTCCGAGAAGATGAGGGATCTTAGGAATGTAAATGGACCTCTTGGAGTGTTTTTATTGGATTTTAAATAAGAGTTATTAGTAGACAATCATTGATGGTGAATATCTTAGAATGAGATATTTGAATTTTAATTAATTAGACTCAACACGCTTAATTCTTAAAGGGGTTTTGGGGTTTTGGGGTTTTGGGGTTTTGGGGTTTTGGGG